GCTGAAGACCTTAAGCACAGCCTGGATGGAGTGAAAGATGATTTCTCAGCAGCCATCTTCCTCTTTTAGGGGCTCATTCCATTGCAAAGAGACCCCCATTCCCTCCTTGCTTCACCCTGTGCCAGCTGGTTCCTGGTAGTTACCTTCTGGTCAAGTGGGCTACAATGGCATCGCACGCCGAGTCTGGGCCTGGGGGCTGCTGGAAGCACTCAGCATCGTGTCCCTGCATCAGGCCTCCTGGGCAAAGCACCCCAAAGCTCCTCCGAGAGGGCGGGCATTTGGGCAGGTTTGTTGTGGTGGAGGCAGGTTAGGGTAGGAGTGGGGAATGGGGAGAGGTCTGATTTTAGGGGTCTGGTAAGGGTCAGTGGGGAACTTCAAGAAGAAGATCAGTATCTTCCTCTGTGATGTGGTCCCACTCAAGGACACTGTTCACTCCCCCATGCAAGATCCATACCCCCAAATCCTGCTTTGCCTACGCTACTTCAAGGCTGTTTCTTGGACTCTGACCAGCTCTACAGTTCATCTCTGTAGACCCAGCCTCCCAGTGCATGCCCTGGACTTGGGTAGATTTATGGGTTAGGGCTGAATATGTTACGCGTTACCTTTTACACCAGGTGGTCCTGCTTTCCCGGGGAGTCCCTGGGGTCCCATTTCTCCTGCAACGAAAGACCCAGTTTGTAGGTGCACGTTGCACACTGACCAGAGGGAGATGATAGAGAAGCCTGCGCAGCTGGGCCTTGCCTTTTACAGAAACAAGGAAGCTGGGTTTTGTTAATTATATTCAATCTTGCAACGTATCTTACTCCTCTTCTTCTGTTGAAGCTACACTATACTGGTACTGCCAGTGCAAGTCCTAATTTGCAGTTCGCGTATGAATTCCTGTGAGCTTTGTACATCCTGGAGCCCGTTCATGGGTTTTGCTGTGGTGGAGCTGCTCCCTCTGCTAATGTGCTTCACCTTCCTGTGAGCTGGCTGTGGAAACCCTGAAGGACCCCCATCTCCCTTGCTTCCTGGGGCGGGGGGTGCCAGTGCAGTTCCCAAACTGTTCCCCAGCAGACATGCGGGAGCACTGCAGCCTCCCTCCCACCCAGACTGTTCAGCAAAGGCTCTGAAAATAAACAGATGTTTTTACTGTAGAAGAAACCAGTGAGTTATTACACTTCACACCCCAGGACCGCTTCAGACTTGTGACAGGACTCAGGGGAAAAAAGACAACTCCATGTGCACCAGCACATCTCGAGATGGGATGTTTTCCACTCCTATGCAACTCCCCAGCAGAAGCCAGTGCCAGGCCAGGCACTGCTCCAGCCTCGGCTTGCTTCCCCTGCCCAAAGCAACAAAGCCATCTCCTATCACAGTGTTCATCGCTGGCTTTTGGGGCCTCACCTTTTGTTCCTGGGAGACCTGGTTCTCCTTTTGGGCCAGCGGCACCTGGGATCCCTGGGCATCCTTGGAGAATGGCGAGCCGGTCAGCATCACCCAGTCCCACTATTCTCACCTCTGAGGAAATGAAGACAGCCTTTCTGGAGATTATTAGCGCTCTGAATGTCTTGGAGAGAAAACCAAACCCTCTGGAGGTCAGGAACAGTGCAAGCAAAAGCAATGAGGGCGGGAGTTTGGAGGCGTTGTATGGATTAACAGACGGCATTGAGGATCTCACATATTAGAGGAGCTAGACACTGAATCTCCCTGGCTTCAGGAGAGTTCAGTGGGAGAGGAGGCTGTTAAATGTATTACATGCATGACAAATATACTGTAGCTTAATGAATCAAAAGCTGAGAGGTGCCCTGGGGGGTATTGACAGCAGAGTAAGTGACGTTGACGGATCTGTGGACAGTAACGGTTCTGCGAAATTTCCTGGGACCAGGTCAGTTTGAAATTGTCCCTATTGCCTTCCCAAGGAATACAGACAGAAAGCTGTGTTGTGCAGCATCCCCAGGCTGCCAGGGTGCCTGGCACCCAGCAAGCACTTGACTGATCCTTTGTATTGCTCTGCATCCCTTAGTAACTGGGCCGAGGCACCATGAACAAAAGCCCTTAACCAGGATGGAAAACCTCAACTGGGACAGTCTGGTCCTGGAGATCCCACTGGTGAATGGGGGTGGATGCTACATCTTTGGTTGGAGCCAGCAGTTTTGTAAAGTGGCTGCTGAGACTTCATCCTCCCCCTTACCCTCCTCCCACTTGCAGCTGAATTAAAAAAAGCATAAAAGGAAAAAACTTGTATTCCCCCTCGCCTCCCCCAGGCTCCTAGTGTTATGGGGGAGATGAAACAGGCTGTCTCAGCGGGATGGCAGTAGGATTTGTGCCCCACTCACCTGGGCAGGTGTCCTGGGCATCACAAATCGTCGCTGTTAGGCTGAGCAGGGCCAGGAGGGATGGGACTGCCCTCCCCATGGCCAGCACTGCTCTCCGCTCCGCGCAGCTCCCCTCATCCACGTCCCAGGCGCTGTGTTTAGCATCGACCCAGCTAAGCCTTTTATATCTAACAAAAAAGCCAGCGTAAGCTCCACCTCTGCGCTTGCCCACTGCCTGCTCTCAGGTCTGGGGCTCTGGCTGGGTCTTAAGCTGTTTCCCAGATAAGTCACCTTCCACAAGTCTGATGGGAAAGTTCTTGCCCGGCTGCCCCAGCCTGCCTCGCCTCCGTCCTCTATAAATTTTGGATGTCTTTCCCTCCCGTATTGCATTCCTAGAGGAAATGCACCAGCAAAACCATAGGTTTAGCTAAGTGCAGACAGCTCCCCTCATCCTGCCTGCTCGTGGCCCTTTACAAAGGCAGAGCTTCCTGTGTAGATGGGGAAACTGAGGCACTGGGAGATGAAAAGCCCCAGGTCAGCCGAGGCCACTGGCAGAAAGAAGCTGCACAGCCTGGCTCGTGCTCCAATGCTCTGCCTGCCAGGCAGCCCAGCATCACTTTGCAACCCTTCAAACAGAGGTTTCACTTTATACATGATCCATGACTGATATGGAGTTAAAACTCTGTATCCAGGCAAGGTTTGGTGGGCAGAGCATGTCTGATCTTTTTTTTGCCCACCTGTTTTTTTCTCCAGTCCCTGTTCATTGTAACAGCGAGCAGGATTTCTGTTTTGCTTTGCTGTTGTGATGCCCTGTGCTCCGCTCATTTGCGGCAGCACTACTGGAGGTCCCAACCGCCTCATCGAGTTTGACCGCCATGTCACCTTCAGACACAGAGCCTGTAAAGTTTATGAATTTTAGCAGAGGGAAGCATTTAAGTGTTTTTCTCCTAATTGTTGCATCCCACTTCAGAGGAGACCATGATTTGTTGGAGCCTTTCCCAGCTATCAGGATATCAGAGGCAGAACATAGTCCCCCTGCAAGCATTCACTTCTATCATGAGGTCCCTCTAACATCCCAAATTCCATCAGGAACCCAGAATTCGTTGTACCAACTGAGCTTTCTGTTTGCAAAGGGAAACTTTGATGCAGCAACTCTTTGCTGAAGAGGGACCTGGATACGGAATTTATTGGACACTTAAAATAGCACCTGAGAGCTGTTTTCATGTCTGGGTTTTCTAGCACTTCAGACAGGACACTGTCACAGGCGGGTAACAGCAGCAAGAGAGAGACAAGACAGACCGAAATATCTTCAATCCCAGAGACCTGAGAACCAGTTCTGGCAGGGAAATGCACACCTTACTTTCCTGTCCCCATCTGAAAAAAGGGCAGGGAAATCAGAGGGATTGTGATCAGACTGGTTGCATTCAAGTTTGGGTTTTGCTTTACATGGAAATAAGCATCTCATCTGTGGCAAGCGCTGTGCATGCAATTCTTGGGGTGAAACGAGAGCAGCTTCTTTCTTCAGCCTCTCAGAAGGAAAGAGCAAAAGGATGAGGAGGTGCCTCTGAACTGCTAGGGAGGGAGAGGTCTGTGCAGGGGAGGGTGACTGGGGACTCCTGCACCCCTCTTCTCTCTTCTGTACAGCCTGTGCTGCTCATCTGGGACAGACCTGTGTCTGCCCCGTGGGGTGGGTGGAGATGGAGAAGAGCCAGCCCCTAGCACTGAGAAGCCTTCTCCTGCCCAGTGCTCTGTGCGTGGAAATGGCTGCAACGCCTTGTCCCAACTACCCGGAGGCAAGAGCTGCTGCCCTCAGCTGTGTCCCTTGGTAAATCACTCCAAAAAGCAATGGCAAAACTGGCCTTGCAGATTAACCCATCGTTACAGTCTCTCAAGGGCTCCAGGCTAGATCTCTCCTGCCAAAAAAAAAAAAAAAAAGTAAGCCCAGCTTTTCCCAGTTCCTCCATTAGCGGGGTGGCGAGCTCCGGGCTGGGCTGAGAAGGCATGTTGTGGAGGCAGCTGTGATGTATCGGCCCAGCACCGGTGCATCCCCTCAGGGTTGTGGGCTCCATCCTGGAGATGTCACCCCACTTCCACCCGAGGAGAGCAGCAGTGTCCTTGTGGATGCAGCTACTTTTGGGAGCAGGGGGGAAACTGCCAATGAACAAGTTTGGTCCAAAGTAGGTCAGGCCCCCGAGGGTAGATTTTGAAATTGGCCCAGTGATCAATATGACCGTAATTGCTTTTCCTCATCCCAGGATCCAGTGAAGATTGCAGAGGGCTGATCATTTACAGCATCAGCAATTCTTTTTTCTATGTAGATTCTCCCTTGAGCCCTGGGAAATGTCCCCTGTCAGTCTCGAAAGTCCAGAATCACTTTGGGGATGAGAAAACAAGAATTTTAAGCACACTGGGTGAATGAGGAGCACCTCCGAACACTGTGACCCATCACTCCGCCTCTGGAGACATAAATGCCAAGACTGAAGTTCCCAGAATTGAACTGATCTGCAAATCCCCAAGAAATTAAGCTTAGCAAACCAGAAGGCACAACCAGATGACAAGAGCTTCAAAAAGTTCATGTGGGAGCATTATAACTGTGTGCAACAGAGGAGTTAGCACTGATTAATGCAAAATTGTAGGTGAAATCCTGGCTCCTGGTAGGGTCATCGGGCTTTGCTGCTACCAGGATGCTAGAGCTTTGCAGGGAGGCTGGGGAAAGCTGCATAAGCTGTAAGTACCTAAAACAAGAAGCAGCAAGCCCCAGTCATTGCATTCCTCTGCTCTGTGCTAAGCTAAGGACGTTGTCGTGCAACTCATAAAACTGCAAGAAGGCCAGACGGTTGGCACTGGGGAGCTGGGAGGTAAACTCTGGCAGATCTGATGTTAAGTGATGTGATAGAAGAGCTTGCTTTAGAGTTGGCACCATTGCGGGTGCTCAAGGGGAGCTTCCATGCGCTTTGGAGACTTGCCTTGCTGGAAGAGGAGTGATGTCAACCTGCAAGGGTAGGTTATCAACCAAAGCAGCAAGGAAAGATGTTCTTCCTTATATGCGAATAACAAAGTTTTCAGGTTTTTTTGAAGAACACTTATATTTCCAAGGGAGAATTTCTTCAGCCCATGACCAGTATCTGTGGTGGGGACATTTGCCCAAGCTAAGATAGCAGTTTTTTCAGAAGATGTGCCTTGGTTTTCCCTTTCTGCTTTCTGTGAACATAGGGCGTCTTCGAGTGCCTGAGCCCCTCAGTGCTACGAACCCTGCTGCACATTTCCCTTGTCCTTACTACAAAACCAGTTCCAAAGAGTTCGTGAGGCTCCAAAAACGCACAGGTAACTGGTAGAGTTTCTAAAGACAGTTGTCCTCACCAGGGAGGGGAAATGTGGGGAAGCAAAGCGAGGAGCCTTCCTCCGGCTCACCCCTTGGGTTTCACATGCTGTGTTGCTGAACAGGGTTTCACTCTCTGCTTTCCCAGGACAGCTTCAATGGAGGCTCCTGTCTGTGAGGAGCTCAGGCTGCTGGTTTCACTGGTCTTGACTGGTGCCCACAGACCCTTCCTGCTGGGCAGAGCAAAGCCAGCCTTCCTCATAGCTGGTGCTGGCTGTAGCACACCTTAGTACTGGGCAGCCAGGCAGTGCAGTGATTTATGAACGCAGAGCACCCACTTTGACCCTGCATCTAGGGCTCCTTCCCCACATTTCCATAGACTGATTTGGGGGCACAGCGGTTTCCTAATTTCAGGAGCCAATTAGGACAGGTCTCTATCGGTTATTGCACACCAGCTGCATGCCCTTGCCAAACGTTTGGTTTGGCATTTGCTTGGTTTCCTCTAGGAGCTGGTGTTGGGGAGCCTTTGCTTAGCTCTCCTTATGGTGATATATTGAGACAGCCTACCCAGAAGGGATTTCATTTTAGTGGTTTCTTTCCTACCAGCCTCTGCTTCGACAAGATATTTCCTGCTACATTCCATTTTTAACTTCTTTTATAATCTCTGGTAACACCTCTTCTGATCTGTGAAAGGCTGGCGGCTGTTCATCACTGAGAGCAGGGAAGACAGGCGGAGATGTGATTTATAGGACAGGCAGAAGCTGCTCTGCACCCTCCCTGCTCAGACGAATCCTGGAGAGTAGAAAGGCAATGCCCAAGCCCTTTTTCTTTGCTGATATTAATTTTCCCATGTACAGAACAGTGGAGACACAGGTGGGACTGATCGCTCTGGCACAACTGGTTGGACGAGGAATGTGCTCAGGAAAGGGGCAAAGGAGGCTCTCTGTGTGCAAGGGCATCTGGTGAGGGTACGCGTGCCAAGCAGGTTCTTACTGCAGGGGCACCTGGTGAGGGTATGCACACCAAACAGGCAAGGACGGCAAGAGCTAAACAGCAGGATAATTTTTCCAACAATGTGCCTGTTGTTGGACCAGACAAATGTCACACAACTGGAATTTACACCTGCATGAGGTGAATTATTTGGTTCTTGGGGAAGGTTTTGCACGTACTTCTCCTATTATCCCCACTCAGGCCTCAAATGTCTCATTTTTTGAGTGATCGCTGCGTAACAATACCTGCTTCCTTCCTCTCCAGTGGGGATTTTCATGGCCTCCTGACTCGCCTCCAGTGACTTTGCAGAGTTAAGCAGCCGCAGAGCTTAGAGTAGGAAACTATCGCCCATGACAGGCACCGCTGTCGGCAGTGCTGGATGTCAAGCGTAACTGTCAGCCCAGTCCAGGTTTTCTGGCTCCCTCCAGACGCTGTGCAATACAAGCCATAAAAACATGCTGGACTTTTTCATATGGAGAATAAGGACTGGGTTTTCAGGAGAGCTGGGGACAGACTTCCCTGGTTTCCTGCAGGGCTGGACTCTATTGTAGTTTCTCTACCGTAAATCTTTTCAGGCTGGTTTAATAGTATCATCCAGAGTGACAGTGTTCAGCTGAGTCTGGAGAGGAAAGGTGCAGATTCAGCATTTGTGGTTTGGCTAATAGGCCGCTCAGTCCAGTGTTTTGTTCACTGATTTGATGGCCATTATGGCCTTGGTAGGACTGCTGAGCGACTTTGTTACTCAGAAGAGTATAAGGTTTTAATCAAACATTTACTTTATTTTAGTTTTGCTTGTTTCAGCATAAACGAACCTTGTAGAAAGTGACTTTTTCTTTTCCTTTAGCCTGAGCTGGGAGTAAAGACCAAGGCCTGAGTGCTGCTGGAGCTGGACCGTTGTCCTGCACAGAGCTAAAATCCAGCTGAAATCCAGCTCTGATGGCAACAAGCTGTGTCACTGAAAAAATTCCTGAAAACCATGGATGAACTGCAGCCTTCCTGCCAGGCTACGTTGGCCTGAATTTCATCTCTGACAGCTGGCAGGAGTATTTGCATCCTTTGCCTGCCAGTTGATGACATCTGCAAGACTGTAATGAACTCCATGGTGGTAAAAGCCATTGAGGCTGGAGTGGTGGCACTGGTGCTACCACCAGGCACCTTTGTAGGGTACAGCGCAGTTATTAGAGATGCGTTGTTATCACTGTCTTTGGTTGGAAACGGCATGTTTTTGTGTTTGACCAATGAATCCCCTGTGGAGAAAACCAACAAGTCCTGTTAAAACTCCAACTTCCGTGTGTCACTAGAGCCCTGTCCCACCACCATGGCTGGTCCATCCTGCACGTCCTCTCTGGCCTCCCAGGAACGCGCAGTCCTCTGCAGTGGGGCAAAGCCCCTGCCCTCACACCTCCCCTCCTCCAGCCAAGGGTGGCGAGGACCTGTTGAGCGAGAGTGGAGGAGGCAGTTTGGCCTAGCAGCAAGGTCTCTGGGATTGAAGATATTTCGGTCTGTCTTGTCTCTCTCTTGCTGCTGTTACCCGCCTGTGACAGTGGGTCACTGTCTAAAGTGCTAGAAAACCCAGACATGAAAACAGCT